CATCCTGGAACTCAGCCACCAGGTCTTTATTTGTATAGTAATGAACCAAATGATGCTGTGAATAGACTTGTTGTCCCATCTCCCAAACTAATCAGAATGAGACATTCAACAATTGGTTTACTATTACTGACTGATGTTACATTTGCTAACAGAGCACAAGTTGACCAGCATAGGAACTGTATGGAAGAACAAAGCAGAAATTCCCAATGAAATCTTATAATTTCAAAACAGAGAATTGTATAGTACAATCTTTGAATTTCAGAAAGATATAACATTGGCCTTGTATATGGCAAAGAAAAACAAACTGGTACTGCTGATGTCAACACTGCACCACGATGGAAAGACAGAGAAACTCAACAAAATGGAAGCCTGAGATGGTAACTTTTACAACAAACCCAAAGGTGGAGTAGATGTTGTTAATGCAGCAACTGTGGTGTCACTTGAAAAAACACAAAGCATTGGCCAACAGTTGTGTTTTACTTGATCCTAAACATGTGTGGCATGAATAGTTTGATAGTTTACAAAGAAAATAACAAGTGCAAAATATGATGGAGAAATTTTCTTAAGAGGACTGGGACTAGAGCTCACAAGAGATCATTTACAGCAGAGGAAGAACAAAATGTTTCTGCCCGGGGAACTAGGCAAAAAAATTGTGGAGCACACTGGTGAGCAGGCAGGTGCAGCATCACAAAGACTTACTAGGACAACAGGAAGACCAAAAAGATGCCAGCTGTGCCCTACACAAAAGAACAGGAAAACAAAACATACGCATCATCGGTGTAAGCGATACTTGTGCATGGAAGGTACAGTTTTCATGTGTGAAGGCTGCGTTGGTGTGACAATTGAAACAAGATTCTTTCTTTTTTTTTTGAAACAAGATTATTTCTGTGGTAGACCTTTGTTTGTATTTACACTGTAGTTCACATAGGTATTTATTTCTGATGTTACCTGTTAGGTTTTGTAAGCAAGTAAACAACGGTTGTAAAAATGTTGTTTATTCTAAACGTGCAATATATAGTAAGAGTTTTAACACTTTATTTTACTGATATTTTATGCTCCTGTTAAATACACATTGTATGATATAATGAGAACCTCCTGACAAAACAGCAAGACCAGCGAGATGTCAAGTATGTCCTACAAAAAGGCAGAAAAACAAAACACACATGCTGTGAGTATAAGGAACATGTGTGTATGGAACATGCTGTTGTCATGTGTGAAGACTGCCTTGGGTATGATAATTGAAGTAAAGATTATTTTTGTTGTAGAGTTCTATTGGTTTTTCTTTTTTTTTTTTTGTACTGGGGATCGAACTTGGGACCCTGTGCTTGTGAGGCAGGCGGAGGCACCACTGAGCTAAATCCCCAAGCCTCTATTAGTATTTTCATTGTAGCTCACATAGAAATTTATTCCTGTTGTGAATTTTTAGACTTTGTAAACGAAAAAACAGTCAATGTTGAAAATTTTGATGCTTTTTTTATAAACACAATAAATACTAAACATTCAATACTTTATTTTAAAAACCTTTTTCCTGTTAAGTACTCATTGTTTAATATAATAAAACTCATAAGTCAGAATTAAAAACTCATCAATAGAAACACTGAAGAGAAGAGAAGGGTCTTTCCTTTTACACGAAACTGTCATGATGCCACTTACACAGGGAGAAGGAAAGGTCCTTCCCGCCTTTCCTCCTCCGACACCCCTCAGACTCGATTCAGCAGCTTCTCTCCTACAGCTTCCCCGACTGCCCAGGCTGGGCTGGGGGCAGCTCCTGGGGAACCCATTCTTCCCAGTGCACAGCTGCAGCCCCCATCACACTGCAAATGCAGTGGTTTGAGCATGTGTTGTTCTCACCCAGAAGGCAGGTTTCTCAGAATCCCGACCATGGGGCCCGGAGGACCAATGTGGAGCCGTGAGCTCAGAGGCCTCCGAGTCAGAGCGATAGCTTCTAACCGGAGCCAGAGGAGGGAGGCCCTGTGTAGTTGGAGGCAGTGGGACTCGGCATGGACAGACACAGCAGCAGCTTCTGGGTAGAGGGTCTCTGAGGGAATAGCCTAGACGAGTGGTGGTGAACCAGGGGCACACGTGCCGAAGTGGGCTGTCAGTATCGCAAAGGGCTCGAAAAGCTTCGCACCACCGGCCTAGACAAAGGCCACTGACAAGACATGGCTACCAAGGGGAGACTGTGGCTGGAGCCCCATGTGGGGGCTATGGGACAGGTGACAGGAGAAAGGATGTTGGAGCAAAAGGAGGTATGATCATGACAGTCCTTGGATGTGTTCTGCAGCCCGATGGGTGTTTAGCAGGATGTGAAATGGAAAAATGTTTTGTGATCAAGTCAGTTTGGAAAACATTTTGTTAGCAGTTCTATTGGTTTCCTCACTGTTTGCTTTAATATGCTCACACTCGACAGGCTGCACTTACCATACATCATAGAGCACAGGGCCTTCCAAATGGTTGGTGTCCTATACCACCTTCTGGAAATGCTGCCTGGAGCCGACACGTGAGCTGCATCTTGAATGGAGCTCAAGACAAGGATGATATGGGTTTGGGATAGGGATCCTGGGGGCTTGGCTCTAAATTACAGTGCTCCACTGGCTGAGCTCCTCACCCAGCCCCTCTCTCCCTTGAACCTGGGGCTTCTGCAACACTACACAGGGGCTCCTGAGTGAGTGCCCACCGGGAGGGCAGTGTAAAATTTACCATCGGAAAGCAGTGGACCCAAGGGATGCCTTCTCAGCCCCTAGCTGTAACATGATGGTGTGATTTAAATTTCAGAAATCGAGGAGTACTCAAGGAAGAAATGTTGGCAGGCACGGAGGCACTTGTAAAACCATCTGAGCTGATGGGGACTCTGGGCCCCATGGCTCCGAGAGACAAGGCAGCTCTGAGCGAAGGTAGGGAGGGACTGGAGGGCCCAGATCAGGGTCTGCTGGCAGAGGATTCTGGATGAGGTGGGTAGGGGACTGAGAGAGGAAAGCAGCCTCAGCAGCAGCCCCCAGTGCCTGTCTGTGCCCTGTCTCCGGATAACCCATGAGAGCCTATTGGCATTGGACACAGGGCACTTTACCCTCAGCAGACAGTGGGGGCTGGTAAACAAGGAGGGGTGGGAAACAGTGCCCCCAAGGGAAAGGTCCCCAGGGCCTCAGAAGCACGTAGGTTTGGGGTGAAGTTCTGGCTCTGCCACTTACTAGCTATGTGACCGAGGAAACCACAGCCTCCCTGGAGCAACACCTTCCTCCAATATAAGACGAAGCATCTGTGATGACTTTGTGTACTGGTGCCTGGCACAGTGGGTCCTCCGTATGCAGTAGTCACCACTGCTTGGGGTGGGGCACAGCCTCAAAGAGGGCATGGTCAGAATGCCAGATGGGGCATCGCTGAGCTGTTGTGGCCGAGGACAGTTGCAGGTCCCATCAGCTAGTAGCCTCTGCCAGCCACTGTGGACCTTGGCAGCCTGCCTGTTCACAGGGGTATCTCATGGGCACTGGAGTGGTACCACCCCAGAGGTGCCTGGCACACAGCAGGAACTCAGCCAGGAAGCTATTACCATCATCGTCCCCTGCAGGACAATTCCTCCCTGTTGGGTGGCACCTCCCCTCAGCTCAGGCTACCTGCCTGCCCATGTTATCTGCAGTTTTCAGTGGTGCCCAGATCAAAAAGGCACCTGCTCACAGCCACACTGAGACGCCAGTGGTGCATCTGTGAGTAAGCAGCGACCCTGTGCAGAATGGCTTGTACCCTGCACACCCCACAGACACTGTCGGGCCCACAGGTGGAACGAGCTGAAGCAGCACCACCCACCAGCCCAAATAAGGTGGGAGGACTTCTGCCCGGGCCACACCTTGGCCTGTTCCCCATCTGGAGGCATTTTATACACATTAATCCCAACATTTCTGACATAGGCAAAAGGACTTGGGTGTCTGCAATTTGCATAAAGTCAGAGGTGCATGATTAGGACAGAAGCAGGAGAGAAGAAGCAAGGGGAGCAACAGGGCTTGACAAGAATCACACTTCTGGGGGTGGGGCTGGGCTCACCCTAGGAGGGAGACAGCCATTAGCCACTTGCAGATGCCAGAGAACACATCCGCTAGAGAACAGGGGCTGGGTGTTCAGGACCTCAGCCCGAAGGCTGTATAACCTCAGTCCACCAGCAGCCTGGGACGGCTTCTGGGAGCAGGACCCACGCTCACGCTGTCCAGGGGCCTGAGCAGGAGGAAGCATCACCGGTATCAGGGCCACAGGATACACACCAGGTTGTTCACGTGCAGGTCACAACTCTGGCTCTCACGTGGCATGGAAGCAGGCCCAGTAAGAGAAGGCAGTGGGCCAAGTGGGCAGAACAGCTAGCACCAGAACACTAAATGGGTCAAGAAAACATTTCCCTGCCACGTTGGATCAGAGGGAACAGGCCCCAGAGGATTCACGTCGCCAAGACCTTGGGGCAGTGCCACTCTGCTTCCTTCAACCATTCAGTGGGTGCTAAAGTACGGTCAGGGGGTCTTTGCCCTTCGTTACTCTCTTGAATATACTTCAGAATACTCATTCTCTCAACTGCTGTACTGACTGCCTATATTAGGAAGCGTGCTCTGCCCTTCCCTCCTGATCACCCAGCCCATCCCCTTCCCGCTGACCTCTCAGAACTAGCCCTGCTGAGCCCTTGATTCCAGGTACTTCCAAACTAACCTCGGCCAGACTTCCACCTATCCTGCCCCACACACATGGGTGTGATGGTAGGAAGTAGGAGGGCCCTGGGAAGGGACCAGGCCCCAAGAAGCAGGCTTCCTCCTCATGCCAGCCAGGTCTGGACCACCCACCTCCTGGCCTGGCAGTCTGAGTGCCCTCCGGGTGGGGAGAATGGTGGCTACCTAAAGACCAATGGCAGCCACCAGTCCTGAGTGTCACGGTGCCCACTGGGCTGCAGGGGGTTGGGGCCCACACTCCTGGACAAAGCCTCCCTTTTCTCCCCTTCTTCCTGCTGTAGAGTTTGGTTGGCTTCTTACCTTTGGGGCGAGGTACTTGGTCAAAATTTCCTTCCCTTTCTCTCTCAGTTTTTCATCTCGGGTAACTTCATATTCTGCCTAAAATGGAAGAAGAAAAGGAACAATAACAGATTTGCTCGAGAGCTTCTTAGGGTTACAGAATCTCAGAGCCCCCAGAAGAACACCCTGGAGGCCACCTAGCTGATCTTCTGCAGGGTGGGAAACTAAGGCCTGCTAAGGGAGCAAGACCTGGCCAAGAGCCTAACATCTGGTCCATTCTACACTTGCCACAAGATGCTGGCTCTTAAGACAATGCTCTCCACGTGGACTGCACATCAGAACCACTGGGAGCATCAAGCAAACTCCGATGCCCTGAGCAGAACAGACTGTCCAGCAGGTCAGGAGAGCCAGCATTTGGGCAAATGGGTTTAAGAAGTACCAACTTAGATGAATCAGAGGAAACGACTGGAAAATAAGGACCACCTAACTGGAGGACCACGGAAAGGCTGCTTTCGGTCACTGAGACCTTGCAAACTACAAGACCTGAAATGATTTGCACAGCCACTCTATAAAATGAACAGGGGTCCAACACTAGTGGCACCTATGTGTAGGGCAACTGTGCAGATAGAAAGGACAGAGCCCTCAGCCTGGGACCGGCACATAATAATCATTTAACAGTGGGCACAATTATCACCATTGTGATTATTACACCTTGCAAGGAGAATAATACTACGCATGCCTTATTTTCTCCAGCCTTTCAGTTTACAAACCGAACACTGTGAAGGAAAGAATATGGCTCTCTCTTCTTGCCTTTTTCCTGTGTTCAAGGAAGTTGAGCATGGTGCCTATAATCTCAGCATTCTAGGGAGCTGAGGCAAGAGGACCAGAAGTTCAAGCCCAACCTGGGTAACTTAGCAAGGTCTTGTTTCAAAATTAAAAAAAAAAAGCGGGGCTGAAGATGTAGCTCAGTGTGAAGGCCCTGGGTCCAATCCCCAGTATTGGAGAAGAAAAACAAAACAAAAGAAAATGAATCTCACCAGAGCTGGGGTAGGGCTTCAAGTGAGCAGAAGTTCCTGTTCTATGCCATCATCAGGATAGGATACTGAGATGAAGAGGCTCCGAACTGGAAAGCCACTTGCCCAGGGTCATGCAGCCAGGGGTGGCAGGGCTGGGACTCCAATGTCCAAGCAGAGAGCTCCTTCTCAACACCACCAAGGAACTGAAAGGGAGGCCTCTGAAATCAGACTTTTCTTTTCCTTGACCTAAGAGGGGCTCCTTCACTCACATCTGATGCACTTGCCAAGTGGATGAAAGGCCTCAAGTTAAGAAGAAGCCTGAATGAATCTGCCTGCTCATTTAGACAAAGCAGCTAATTGCAAATTGTTCATAACCATTTCAAACCCAAGGATTTGTCAGGCTCAGCCCCACAGTACCCTTATTTGAAAAAGAGACACCGGAAGTGACCAAACATCCCACTGTGCAGTTAGACACCCAGACCTTTTCTGGTATTCTAGGCAACTTCACAGCTAGGCTGGTTAAGAGACCCACCTGGAAAAAGGGAAAGGGCAGGAAAGATTTGGAAGGTACACAGAGGGACAGCAAGCAAGTTTCCTGGTCCTGCTGTCTCTCTTCTATGAGACAGCCAAGAGTCACAATCTTCTCCAATAAACATGAACCCTATGACTACTAGGATCCCAGGGTGATGGGGCTGTGGTCCCAGAAGGAACCCAAGCCCTCATCTTTCAGAGCAGGCCACTGAGGTTCAGTGGAGGAAAGGACTTGCTCAAGATCACAGGGCCAGTACCAGGAGGTGAGGCCTGGCCTGCTGGCCCGACTCCTGCAGTGCTGCCCGGTCTCTCCTGGAGCCCACTCCTACCCATCAAGATGAGCCTGAGGGACTGAGGCTGTCTTGGTGATTTCATCTGATTTGACTGATGACTCCTTTAGACACTTAGGAAGAAAATGGCAAAAAAAAAAAGGAAGAAAATGGCTCTTCGCGCCCTTTTCCTGTTATATTCTTCCATGCTCCCCCAAATCTCCTAAAACTCATTTGCACACACACACATCTGCACACAGACGCACTATGTAAAGCTCCATAGCAGGTGTGATTATTCCCAATTTATGGATGGAGACAGTGAGGCTCTGAGAGGCCAAATAATTGGTTCAAATACAATCGAGTTGGCAAAGTGACAGCACTTCCTTGCGAAAGGAGCTGAGCATTCTAGAGCCCCTACCACCCCTGCTTCTGTGAGCAGAGAAGCATGCAGTGTCCTGCTGGCCCTGACACAGGGGAATGCAGCCAGACTGCTTTGCAGGCTGAGGCCCTAGACAAACAGTCGATCCCCTTTGGGGTAACTCAATCCCATCCCAAACACTGGATTTTCACTGTCCCAAAATATATCTGTGAAGGCGGCTCTATTTAAGCAAATGGAGGCCTAGGCTCACAGATCAGCCTCAATAACCAGCTGAAAATATAATTGCTCTGGGTTCTAAAACCCAGGTTATGAAAAAAAATAACATTACTTTCAGGTCAGCTGCCTCCCAGCAGAGGCTGGATGGGTGTGCGACTCCGCAGAGATGCAGCCGGAGCACTCAGGGACAGGCATCCCCAGCCTGGGATCAAAGGGCCTTTCTTTGAAGAGTCCATGTCAGGCCACTACCACTTGAGAAGCGTCAGTTTCGGGAGGCAGAAAACCAACAGAAGGCTTTCAACTGGGTTTCCTCACACTCATTATGGTACCTGAAGTGACAGGCACATCTCCACAATGACTCCCCAGAGGGGCTGGGGCGCAGCAGGCACAAGTTCTGAGAAGTCATCTACAGAGAGAAGGCCCATGGCAGCTGGGCTAGATGGGCCAGTGGGTGAGATCATGCTGGAAACCGCTGCTCTGGGGAACACCCTTGCCCAGTACTGGGAGAAAATGGAAACAACAAATAAGAGTTTGTACCAACAGCCCAGAATTTTACAATCAGGTTTGGCTTGGGAAACGGCAGCCAGATGATGAATTCAACAAAAAGAAGAGGAAAACCCAAGACAAGGGATGTCCCTTGAACTCCATGTGCACAAGGGTACCCTTGCCTCCAGGGAGGGCAATCGGCCTTGTTCTCGCTGAACAGAAAGATCCTACAGTCCTCTCTGCTCTTCTGCTCATTTGACCCGTCTCCCTGCCAGAGCCCAATGCCCTTGGAGGACATCCCCCACCTCTTTCTGTTTCTCTGGTGGTCGTGGCAAACACCCAGGGCCTTATGTATACTGGACAAGCGCTCTACCACTGAGCCACACCTCAGCCCCGGAGGGCATGTCTCCTCCCAGATACCTGGGTGCCAACCAAGGCAGGCACCATAAAATGGGGTTCTCTTCGCACCGTGTCTTATACCAAACACAAAGAGCAGGTGCTTCCTTGACACAAGAAGCAGAAGGCTACCCGAGGTTTGGGAGCAAAGCACTCCCCACACTTCTTTTTTTTGTTTTTGTTTTTGGTACCGGGGATTGAACTTGGGTCCTTGCACTTGCAAGATAGGTGGCATAACCACTGAGCTAAATCCCTGGCCCACTCCCCATACTGCTGTGCCCACCAAGAGTGTAAGCATTCACGGGCATCCCTGTTTACAAAGCTGGCATTTCATGCTGTTGGCCTACACTTCTTGTATCATTAGTCTCAGAAAATGCCAGTGAACGTAGGTCCTGGTGTTGAAAACACCTTTCTGTCACATGACTTCTGGGATCTGCCACATGTTCAAAGGAGCTGTGCTGGTTTGAAGAACAGCATTTGCGTTGGATTCCACTTGGCCCGAATAGAGTTGGTGTCACCTCCTTCTCCCTGGAGACTTTCTCCTGCCTGGCAGGAAGATGAAGTCAGAGAAGCCTTGTGGTCTGGCCACCTCCAGCTTCTATAATTATTGATGTGGTCAGCTTTTCCAAAGTCCACGAGGCAGGGGCCAGTCATGCGCGTGGTTGGCAGTGTGATTTCCCTTTCTGGAGAAACAGCCGAGTCCACCCACACGGGCCCCAGCACCTTGCCTATGCTAACTGCAAGGGCTGCCCTTCCAAGCACCCTCTGCCCTTTCCCACACAGATGTGGGGATGGAGTGCATGAGGTGGGGCACTTTTCTGTGGCTCCTGCCTTGCCTTCAAGACACCCAGCTTCGATAGGCCAGCCTCCTCCCAAGCCAGCTCCTTTCCTTGTCCCTGCAGATTAACAACTGGGATGGCTCAGGGTCACTATATCAGCCCCCACTGGTTTTGTTATCCTGTGGGTACTTTGTTAACCCCTTCCTAGGGTGCCTGCACTTGGGAGTTGGAGGGCTTCTATTTCCCGCCAGAACCCACTGACAGCCATGCAATGCCGCAGGTGGGTGCCTCTGGGATGCAGAACCATTGCATGAAGGGGTGTACTGTATGGCCTCAGGGTCAGATGGGCTGGCTATCCCCAAAGCCTGTGCCTGCCTGGGCAAACAGACTGTCCTCTGTCCTGGGATCCTATCTGCACAGCCTTCTCAAGCCTGAGTCGGGGCATTCACTGCCCACCTTAGGGTAACAAATGAGGTGGGACCAGTGAAGGAAGAGAAGAGCGGCCCTGCCCAAGATGAGGGGACAGACAGAGTGACCCCTAGGTAACCTTAGACCTTTCTGACAGCCCCCAGCCCCTGGCTTCTGAGTCATGTCCTGGCTAGAGGCAGAACTGAACAGAAGGAAGGAGGAAAAGGGCACCACAGCTCTCTCAGGGGAGGCTGTAAGCCCCAGCAGCTGTCACAGTCCCATGGCAGAGAGGATGTGCTGCTCCTCCTTCTGTCTGCCTCGTCCTTCTCCTCCCGAGCCTCGGCCTCAGCTCCGTGTGACTGCCATTCTTGTCCCTGTCTAGCTGTTTTACCTCCTCACCCAGAGTGAGTTTCCTATTTTCATCCCCAACCAAAGCTCAAGACATCATACAGACAAAGGCCTCTGACTTTCTTTGAGGCTTCTTTGGTTCTAAGTGAAAAGAACTCCAACCTAACCTGGATCAGGCAAAATTGTTTCTTGCCTCCTGGGACCCAGGATGAGTTGGGAACCAGGGATGTTAGCCCTAACAGAATGAACTCTCATCTGTGTGTGTGTGTGT